TTATGTTTTGTGATATAAATTGTATGACTTAATGACAATATTAATTGAACACTTAAAACCACCTTTGAATTTCTGGTTTTTCGATAACGATATTCAAAGTGTACTTTAGCGAATTTACCGGCAACATTGAGTGGATCACCTGTTGGGGTGCCACGTCAGCTAACTGCGCGAGATATACAAGGTTCTTATGAAGGATGCTCTGATGTCTGAAAGAGAAACCGCACGTTGTCAACGAGTAGACGAGGCAGAGTTTTGATCATGGTAGACGGTTTAGTTTCAATCAACTAAAACCTGGATCATAATAATAACATAAGAAAACTTATGTAAAGCACGAAAGAAAATATCTCCAAAGCACTCCAATGTTTTTTTTTTGTTTAAACCTGGTCTAGCTAATTAACCAGCTTCCTGATATTGTTTCCGGATATATCTAGGCACTAACGTCACTGCTTACCACTCAGGCAGAAAGGTTCTACACCGAGTAAGAATAAAACGTCTAACCATGAGTTGTACATACCCCACATGCAACTAAATCGCTCAAAATGAGCTCGATAGATGTGCAGGGATGTGCTTGTATCGCTTGTGTAGCCTAAATTAGCTAATTAAAATACTGTCATTTTTCATCTCTACTTAAACATTTGAACGTACTTACTGAAGACATTCCTGAGTTTTTCCTTTGGCCTGATAATCGGCAATTGCCTGAATGAGCTGAGCGTTTTCGTCGAGCATCTAGAAAGCGAGGAAACATAAGTGAATTAGACATAAATTGCCATTTAAATGAGGTATCCACATCTTAAGTCTTAGTATCGTCGTAATTATGATATCTTGGAAATCAAACGTGAACATGTTACTGTACTCGACAAAGAGTGTCCCATAAAAAAATGCATTAGTCTTGTCCAGGCTATATTTCACAACAGTTTAAATATATATACGAACGGATCACTTAAATTGCAACAGATTGCTCATTTAAATTGACTATCAATTTTTGTGCCAAAAGGAAAATCGTGACTACCCTCGTTTTTGAGACGTAAAACAACAACATTTAACACACGATTTTTCACCGGAAGTTATAAAGCAATTTAGGCTAACGATCAGAGAAGGTATTTTCTTAATTTATAACCGAACTACCGAACTTATTGGATTTACAACAATTCAAAGCATATACATCAAAGTTGGCGAATAAGCCACGACTGTCTGTCAAACAGTGTTGCACAATTTAGTAGCCGAGGTGCGACAGTATTAATTTGCAAGACAAACAGGCCTGAAGTGTCCTATCTAGGTCGAAAATACTGCAAGAATTTTACGCTGAAAATTTTTCATACATGCGAAGATGCTTGCATATCAATGTAACCCTTTAACCTCATTAATTATTCTAATACGATTGAAATACATGAAATACATAAATTTTCATATAGGACGGTAATATGTACTTAATAAAAAAGGTACTATATTTATCATTGAGGCACAGAAATGTACGTGTTTACTGAGAGGCAACACCTACTTATTAGACCATCTGTGGTATTTGGTACTGTATTTCGTAGACACACACAAATAATAGATTAAATAGATTACATTTATTTTTAATGCGGTAACCATTAGTACACGCAGCTGTCTACCAACACCAGCATTGAATGTGTGGCTATTTGTGATTACAAAGTAAACGTATACATCACATAAACGAACATATTTAATAGAATCATTCTGATGAAGCCAATTTTAAGATAACGTGTAAAAATTGCTCGCCGATCACCGTATTACGCCGATGTCTTCCACTCAGAAAAACAAAAGGTGGCCACAGGAGGCCTTAACATAGCATAATGTGCCGCTCGAGATTCTCTTGTGGCGGCTGAAATAGAATAGTAAATAAACCGTCCCTAATCTATATCATGCAATTCGAGGAAATGATCAAGCGCAAACAGCGCCGCAAAATGTAGACAAAAATCAAACTCATATATCACTTTGATTTTTCGAAAAGCTTTGAAAAGGCGAAGTCAGTTATCTAACATTTCTAATAGCAGATAGACAATATTAATTTTTCATAACTTAATTACACATTGTGTAGATGTAAATAGTTAGGCTTGAACCAGCCATTCTTCCTAACTCTCTCAACTAGACGTTCCTCCGTCCAGACTACCGCATTGACAGGTAAATAACACCAAGAAGCATCAATCTTCGAAATATCAAACTGCAATGCGATGTAGGTTTTCTCGGATATCATTTGCCCTTATCGTAATACTAAACCCCGCCGACCAGCCATAAACCCTGTACTTCAGCTACTGAAGCGCTAATGATTGTTCCTTCTATGATGACATTTTTAGCTTGTCTCATTAACTCACCCTTTGTATTTGAGCCGGATTAGGAGATGGCCTCAACTGTTGTGCCGGACCGGGTGAGCTTGAGGGCCCGGGTTTGTTCGGATACGATGCCACCGACATCTTACCCTGTTACCCTTTAGCAACACTCCCACAAAACCCTGACACTCACACAAACGGTGGAGCACAAATTTGAACCGCAACATGCACGAAAGTTACACCCCACTGACGAACCAAGGGCGCCGCCGGTTCCGAACACTGCTACTGCAAACCGTACACAACTAAGACCAAACAAGCAACAGTAACCTATAGTTATCCTGAGATGTCAAATATAAGCGCGGGCGTTTGTGTCGTCTATAAAGGTAACATAGCTGCATCCTTCCTCCCGTCCTAAATTCTGCCAAATACGCTGCTCGCACTAAGTACACGACGAGGTTGCATAATTTCGAATCGCTGGGACTTGGCGTCTTTGTCAGTGTAAATCTTGACATTGAAAATATCCCTTGAAAGAATTAATGTTAGTTTTACGCAGTGAAACTTATATTCTGAAAAACCTAAGTGCATTGGTTTTGGCTTATTGGTGTTCGACGCTGCGAATTTTAAACATCAGAAAATGTCTTATACATAATATTATGCATAGTTCAGGCCCCTTAACGACTAAGGAAACATCACTCTACACCAGGAGTTATTAGTAGCAAACACGGATTGCAGACGATGGAGAATAAGTATACATAGAAATGGGGCGTAGATGAAGTGGCGCCAATGTTTAACATGCACCTACTTGCGACAGACTCAAAAATACTGCCTAGCATTATAAACAGAGACAGCAGATTATACAATGTAACAGAACGAAAGGCCCAATTTTAAGAAGATTCGATTTCGTGAATAAGCCTATTATTCAAATCTTGTGCATGATACATTCATCATCCAATGATGAATGTCTCGTCAATTTCGTCATAAAATAAATTAATAACGAAGTTTAGCAAAACAGGTCCGGTAAACAATACTTTTACCACTAAGCTCTGCCTACGGGAAGTTGTATAGCTATAATAAACTAATAAAATCTAAAAAAAGACTTCGTAAGATTAAAATGACTTGTGCGACCATAGGATGACAGAATCCGATCGACATGAACAAATAGTCTACCTCGTTAACAAAAACATTTGCGCCTTCAAGTCCAAAATATAAAACAAAATATAATCATGTATATTCGTATCGAAATAATGTATTATTCTATAGTTATCACGGTTTATAAGTAGCATACGTAATAGTGTCTCAGGTGCGTTTTGACGTCAATTAGATCGAATTACAGGTAGGTGAGTGGCCCATGTAAGATCTGTGGCCACCTTTTCCAAATACTAACATCTTAACTATTGTCTTGTTCTTATTACGACATCGCTTGTAATAACAGTATATTTCTGGATTAGTTTTTCTATGTGTTCGTTCAAGTTCTGTCCTATTAGACTCGAATCTCGGCGTTTGATATTTTCTATATGTGTATGAGTAACCCATTCGAAGTTTATTCTTTCCTACTCTATCCACCCAAAAGATTAATCTATTAAAATTAGTTATGGTAATGATTTGATTAAATTCCAATATATTTCCGTATTCCAAGCCCATAGATCAAAGGCAGAAAATATTTTGCCCAGCTGGTATGCCCTGGTTTGGCTTGGCTTACACATTACGCTACTTTTCCTGGTAATTTAAACTTAATACTCACTAAAAATGAACCGTACTTAACTGTTCTAAGGTCTAAGTAAATCATTTACAAATTAATTACGAGATGCGATTTTCTCTAGTTGGAAACGCGGTCATGTTCCCGATACCTATGTAATCTATCGCTACACGAACCACGATCACATAGATATTGCTATACATCAAACGGAAGTTACGATGGAAAACGAAAATTACAAACGTTACGAAAGACGCTTTCCGTGACAATATGTAAGAAGATTATTAGTTAGATTACTATATTAATAGAATGCGTTTTTCGAAATTGCGTATTTATCAAATATCAGATAATATGTATCTGATATTGTGACATTACAGCTGGCCATGAGAACAGGCTAAATCGGATGAATTGAATAAACACAGGTAAATCGAAGAAGATCGACTTAAATGCAGAAAAAAAACAAGAATTATCGAAAGACCCGTAAGTCAGTAAAAGATATACTTGCACCTCGCGCTAAACTCATTCGTAAAATATACGTGTTAGCTACAACCGGAACCCTTACAATTAGTGAAAGCGTAATAATTAACATATACATCGGATGAGTAACAATTTTTTACAATAATGAGTTACATTTTTTAAACGAGATTAAAACGTGTTACCTTCTGCTGAAAACACATAAATAAACCGACAAAATACCCATGTGCAGTTCATTTACCATAGGGAACTACACACGCTATCAAAGAGTTCTTCCATAGCTGACCTCAGTCTTACATAGTGAACGCATATATAGTTCAATTAAGTCGTCCTAACTCCTATTGACAACAATATTCTATGCCTACAGCACAAATAACAAACGATACTAAGTCTATTATTAAAATGTACTGAGTGCTATGGAAAAACTCAGTGTTGTTAATGTCATTGCATCATGGCGCAATATTCGCTCATAGCTTTGCTCTTTATTGACAACGAGTATATGAGTAATGACAATAATACGGACACCACGAATGAACGAGGTAAACGATGTTGTCACGTAATATATTTTTGTTCGATGGTATAAAGCCGACTGGCACGGCGGCATTCAGAGAACTGAGCATAGTTCTGTTGTTTTAACTCATGTCATGCATCTTGCTAGATTCATGTGCTGGTTTTGATGCTTCAGTTTGTCTCGACTTTCTTTACAATATCAGCTTTATACTTCGCCCGATTACATCGACTTAGACAATGGCGAATAGAGCTTATTGAGAGGAAAATGCTATATCCGAGCTATTATCAATCATTGTCTATGATAGCACTTATCTTCGAAATTTTAAAGCAGGACGACCAACGCATACAAAAAAATCAAATCTGATAAATTCATTCAAGTTGTGGACGCGAATAACATTTTCGATTTGTTTGTCTGTTTGTTGTCTAACTAGTACCTAGCATATATCGTTCAGTAGATAATTGTATATGCATTAACATCTATATGCGTATTCAGTATTCTTGTGTTCATATTTCTATCCTTCTTTCTATGAACGCATGATGGCGACGAATGATCGTATCCGTTATATGTCTGCTTGTTTTCTTCGTATATTTCTTCACAGCAGGGTACTACCACCTTTTATTTTGGTATATATATATATATAAGACAATAGCGCTTACATGACCTCCTATCTGACTAATCGACCCTCCATCTATGAGAAAACGCGGATGTTTTGTGTTTCTAACGGAGCAAAATACAAACATTAAACAACACGTTCCTACGCCTCACCTATCTGTGTCAATATTAGCATTAGCAAGTACTATCAAGCATAGTAATGCTATCACTATACGAGAATAGTTTAATAAGGATACAGCAAGGATACAGGAGCGCTACTACGCGAAGCTGCTTCTATCAGTATATCCGTTCCCCTCTCTACCTGGCTCTCCAGTAGATCACTTTGATGTATCGATGAGGTTCTGGATCTCGAGCACAAGCTGTCTTGCAATATTCAGTATTGCAGTTGTGTCGTGCCGCTCCGCCATCTCTGCACGAAAAAAACGAAAATATCAAGCCAACTTAAAAATAATTTAAGTAGAAGAATTCAATAAGCTATAGAAATGTCTTCAAACGGGCAGAGATATGATCATCAACCCGTTTGTTCAATAATAGATTATTTGGATAATTGGTAAAAGCCTAAGAATAGGATTCGACGTAATCGAAGGTACAATAATAATTAGCTTAGAAACGAAGCGGTACTGAAGTGAAATAACAGGTCAGTATAAAGCCTTGATGGTAGGGAGGGGCCATTTTAGCTTTTTTTTTTTTAGCATTCATCAGTGTTATATCCCGTTGTCTCGTTATGAGCGCCACCTAGATATAATCGCAGATCATACGCCGACGGCTATTTTCTCAGCTTGTATCTCAAGCAAATTAGTAATCAGGTGACTTTATGCTATTTTAAATATCTCGTCCAGTACCACATTGGCCACGTTTCTAACAATATTTGTATTAAATATGGCATTCGAATTAACCAGAATGTGTCTCTCCAAAAGAAATCTGCTATTGCCATATAGCTTGTTACTGCATCGATATTACAATAACAATATTTCCCCTCCATTAGTAATATCAATGTTTTTATGCAGTTTATTGAATGCTGTCCAGTTGTTCCTGCGTCGTTATCTGTCGTAGTCGTTAATGCACAGGCGAAAACAAAAAATACATGTAGCATTGAGCGCAGTACATAAGAACGAGAACGTGTCGTGCTTGAGCTAACAGATGATCTGGAAAGGCGGAGTCGGTGAGCGCGCTTTTGAGACAAAACATAGATGGTATAAACGTTATTTTTTGCGCACAACCGACGTTTATCATCCTAAAGAAAGCGATACTGAGCGTGATGACAATTGTTTACGCAGCAAAACTCTGCTGGATATAACAGACTTACCAGTACTGCCGACCATAATCGATCTCGTTGGTGAAACTACAGTTCATACGGAAGGTTACTCTAAACGTAAGTGCAAAGGGAAAATAACGGTTTGAGAACAACTATGGTTGATCGCAGTTACATAAAATAGCATTGTTAGATGGATACCACACATCAAACTAATAGTGATAATACTAAAGGAATCCACGCTAGAGACAAGACGGTGTACTTCTGCATTACGTTTAATTTATAAGATAATTTATATGTAATGACTTATTTAGAAGATAATTTATATGTATACAAATAAATAATGCAAAGTTTGACCACACTGCTCCGTACAAGGCTAATTAATACAACATAGTTGTTTGCTTGAGCAAGTAATCCAGTTTGAATCAGTTCGTACTTCTCAACTGCGAACTCCAGTAAGTTAGCATTACAATCATTGGTCTGAATTCTACTATGGACATAATAGTAGGTCAAAATAGACATGCTGCATTTACACTTGAATTTCCGTTAAAGTGTGTACCATGAAAAGCATCAAGTCGACTCAGTTTCTTATAAAAACGACCAAATTAAAATTAAATATCACTTTCGACCTAGTTTCCACCGGGCTACTGTGAAACTCGAGGATCTTCTCATCGCTTTTTTTTCTCTTACTGTCTGCTTTTTTGTTTCTTTACGCGTTGATAGGGTGTACCTTTGGAGGTACCTGGGTAAGGTATTTTTGAGTGAGCAAGGGTAAGAGATAACCGTACGACCGCAGACGAAGCCAGCTGACTAATGTGTGCGGTCCATACTCACTAAAAACCCGGGCCTTACTAACTTGGACTATACCTGGAACTACTTGCGTATCGCTTGGATAAACTAAGCCAAAGAGGAGCATTCTCGGCTAAAACCGTTCCTCCCTTTGCCCTTTCCACCATTGTCGGGCGGGGTATTTTATTTTCATAAAAATGCCTGCCCGTGCTGCTGCTTCCTTGTCGGGCAGCTAGGGGGCGCCGTGATCGCGACACGAGCGCCATCATCCAAGCAGACCAGCTGGGAAGTCCATACAAAATGGCGTTATTCCACTAGTCGCTGTTTTTGTGTAGGGCGCAAAGAGTAAAAATTTTTTCCGAACAAGTTTACGCGTCGTCGGATAATGTTGTATATCCGGATAGAAAATTGAACGACCGCAATTGTGGACTATTCTGTGTGTAAAAATTTTGCTAGGAAACCAGTGTTCACGCCGATTTAATAACGGGTGTCATTTGCGAGCAGGATTCCCTGACAAACGTGAGTGTTTTCAATTCGTGTCGCATAGCCGCTAGTGGCGGCGGTAGCCCGTTTTATAAGGGGCCGACCAGCATCCAGTATCATTTCTTCACAATAAGCTAGTGAATAGCTCCGCAAAACTGAGTATCAGCAATGCTGATTTGAGCCTGGGCCAATTGACTCTCTTACAATAGCAGCGTTTCAGCATATCGTTTTGGTGCTTAGCGCAGGTGGACTGGAAAAGTGGGACCATGTTAGCCTCCATGAAAAGCAATGGGTCTCGGGAAAGTTGAGAGTAAGAAATATAATTAGACCATACCGGTCAAAAAAGACGACTAAGTCTCCCAATGGGTGCAGTTTGTATTACACGTCTATTAGACAAGAAGGGCATACATTTTGCCAAGAGCTGCTGGCGCGTAACATAATTGCTATTACAGGTAGTCTGCCACCGTTGGCTTTGTTGATCATATAGTGTCCATCGACTTTCTATGATTGCCGGCGACCCCATTGGCAATAGTACCCGTCCAATAGATCCCCGATGTATTGGAAAAGTCGCATTTCCAGGCGTTTCTCTATTACATGTTAGATGTTTGTTATTGTAGCGTCATTGTTCAGCGATATCATAGGTGTTATTACATTTCGTGGCCAATATCGTCCGAAATCTTTTCACAGCTTAGTTATCAAATATTCAGCTCATCATGAGCTCCGGTAGCTCTGCTTCAATCAACTCGCGCCTCAATGGGTTAGGCAGCAGTCGATCGTTCACCTTGAAAGCGGGCTCCGTAGATGTTCTACGTATGAGCTGGTTATCAAGGCGTTTACAAACACTGCAACCACTATTACAACTGTTGATAATTCGCATTAATCGCTATAGCTCACTGAATAAATTCAGAGTAATAAATATATAATCATACAGGCATAGTAACATTCAGCCATTTATGTAGTCAGTAACTGGACGTCCTCGAGACGATATATTGATACTATAGCTGTTAGTCTATACTCAAATGGAATAAAGTTGTTGTGTGCAGGATCATTGCACACTAGGAAGTTCTGTTTTTTTTAAATGTGACACTTAATACTGGCTGCTCAGCTCGTGCAGTAGTGCTCTTGCAGAAAGTTAATAAATACTGAGCTATTTGTTTGACACCAAATGTGCGCTAATGTGATATCCAAAAAGAAACAGGTAATTCTTGAGTTTACATCATTTACTCGGTATTGACTTGCATTTTCATGAAAGGCAAATGTTGTAATTAAACCTAATTTCGAAGAAATTTTGCAGGTCAATACTGCATACCGCTTTTGTGCGTATTTGAAACGCTCTCGGAGCTATTATTTTTAAGGACAGGATTGACCGTTGGCATTTCTGCTTTTAAGACTATATTTTACTGAGCGATATCCAGGGAATGACCACCACAGCGTTAGACGAACAACGTTAGGTGTAATACTAAGTATAGCACTCGCTTGCCTAACTGTGTTATCTGCTGTTGTTGAACGCAACGTCGCAACGCAATTTTTCTATTGTTCTTTTCTAGAAACAGGTCACCAAACAAGCGTATTCTAAGTTGTTTTCCTGTGGCTGTTTCTCTCTGTGTCCGTGCTGTTGCCTTACAGATGCCGAGCGCTAGCGAAACGAAAATGAACCTGTCTGCCCTGCAGCAGGTAGATCCCGAGATTAACGAGATTGTTGATTCGGCAACGCAAGTAGCGCTGTTCCAGTACTCAACACAAACAAGCCAATGGACAAAGACCGACATTGAAGGAGCGCTATTCGTTTATGCTCACCGAAATCCGAGTGAGCGCGGACTTATCATCCTGAATCGGCACTCGCCGAAAAACTACAAGGAGCCAATCACCGCTGACATTGAGTTCAAAATGAATCAACCGTTTCTCATTTATAAGACGCCATCGGGTCAAATTTTTGGGGCATGGTTCTATGTCGCAGACGAGTGCACCCGAGTAGGAAATCGATGTTGTCGCCTCGTGAGCTACCTAAAAAAACGCGAGAAGAGCGCTGGTGGCGGTGGAGGACAAGGATCATCCGATAAAACTAACTCGATTCTTCAAGGATTACTCCTACCGCCAAACCCCGGGGGTAATGTTGGTAGTAACAATAATGAAAAAAACGGTGGCGGCAATAATTCTTACAATAACCTTAACAATAATGGAAACAGCAACAATCACAACAGCAGTAATGGCAAACAGAATGGTCAGCAGGCTCCTCAGGGTAAAGATATTATGAGTCTATTGCAGCGGGCCCAGATCGAAGATAAGCCGCCAGCGAAAAAGCCGCTTGGTCAGAACAATAATGCCAACCGGAAGCAGGAAGGCCTCAACGGCACGGGCGGCCAACGTCGGATGAACGGAGGACAAGGTGGCGGGCATTATGAGTCCAGCCCCGGCGTCCCTGTCGTGCACAAGCCTGTGCCCACAAAGGCCCTCCCACCTTCGGTAGAGCAGTTGTTTAAATCCGCCGGTCGGAAAACACAGCAACAGCAAAATTCCCAACAGCAGCAGCAGCAAAATTCCCAACAGCAAAATCAGGTGTCATCGAGTAATGGTAACAGCGGAGCAACCACCTCAGGAGTACAGCTAATCCAGTCTCTAGCTCAACAGATTCCGCAAACACCACAGCGTGCTGAACACGCCTTGGATCGCCTTCTCAGTCTAGCTGGTAGCAGCCCTACGTCGAGCCATATTGGAGTCGTAGCACCAACTGCTCCGCCTATGAATGACTGCATGGCGAGCATTCTTAACAAACTCAACGAGTCAGCCCAGAAAGTCCAAAGAGAGCAACAACAGTTACAACAGCACGCTGCAGGAGGTTTGGACGCTGGTAGGATCAGCCCCCAGGAGTCTGCCCCACCGGTCAGCAGAAGCAACCTTGCCAACGCCTTGTTCGGAGCTCTTGCAGGTGGGGCGGTTTCTGCAGGAACAGCCGGTACTCCACCAGCTGGTGGAACAATTGGCGGCGAGAAAAAGCTAACGCTGATCACTCCTGAAATGCTCGAGGAGTCATTGTCGCAGACTGGACCTATGACGCCACCGCAGTCACAGCCAACAGCGACAGCGGCGGCATTGAGTCGCACAGAACTGCGAGGTGCGCTCGTTCACCTGCTCGAAAACGACGACGATTTCCTCACCAAAATTCACCATGCCTATCTCCAAGGAGCCAGCCGGCGTAAGTTGCTAACAACGTTTCCGTACGATCATGTCTAAGCGACGCTCGAAGCGAAAACCACTAGACGATTGGCCCCACGGCCATAGAGGCACTGGGGGGAGTTGATAAGCTGAGCTCGAGTTGATCGCACACGATTGGGTATTATTATGATTATTAGACAACAGATCGTATTAAACGCTACACAGGCAATACTGACGACTGACATTGGATCACTGATTGACCCACTGATACGTCGTTGTTATACGGCATTGTATGAATCCATACACGATGACTGTGGTGCTTCTCTGGCGTGTCTGTTTCGAACAGAGATAGCGTGCGAACTGATAACGTAAAAGGTCCTTCGTGTACAGCGATCCAGATTGTTTAGCTGATTGGCAGAGAAGTGCCGCCGAACACGTAGCCGAGTGACGCAGTTATTATTGATAGTGGTAATTATAAAAGAATTACGGGAAAGAGAATTAAAAAGTGGGATTATCATTTGCGACGACGGTGACAGTGACGAAATCACGTCGAAATAATTATAATTACTATTATGACCGCCTGAACGATCAAATAGATCGCCCTACAATGTCTATACACGCATGGATAGTTACTGAATATAAGTCTACTAGACGAAAGAGGAGAAATTAATTACAAATGAATGAAAATAATGAACGGGCGAGTGCGAACGAAAGAATAACACAGTGGATGAATTGCTGCTATTCTCGTCGTTTGAGAAAAGCCTGTTTGCCCCATCGAAAAAACAAGATGAGATGGACAACTGACACATGTCACGTAGAATCAGTAGATTAAATTAAGCAAATGCTTTCAAAAACCTACAATGTAACATAAGCAAAGGTTAGATAAGCAGGCCATTTAGGCGGAGCAATCTAGTTCGTATATCGCTGTTAGTATCCAGAAACCAAATGAACGTCTAATGCATCTTCCTGTTTGAGCGATGGCCACTTGAAGTAGAAGAGGAGTCGTTCAGAGGTTTTGCGTTGTTTGTTGGATACCAACATGGCATAGATCAAGTAGATCGATCGCTAAAGGCGGATGGTTCCATAAGGATAGACGGTTTCATAATGACACGCTCACTGCCATGATACTGCTGTTATTATTGACACTAGCACACTGAGCGTCTTATGTAAGAGATCGAAATGTGCTTTCTGTGTTGGAAAGCGTGACAAGGTCTGGTCGATTTGTGAGGGCAACTGTTCATCCACAGCAGCAGCAGCAGCAGCAAATGATGTGTGGAATGAAACGGTTTACGTCGAATGAATGTGTCTGTATAAATGGCTTTTGAGATGTGTGTGTCAAGTCAGAGAAATTACATATATATATATATATATATATATATATATATATATATATATATGATATAATGATAAATAGATATAATTATACAGAGGAAACAGGGAAGGAAGGGGAAAGCGCGATTGTGAACGAAAAATATGTGAAGATACCATTTGACGACAATGTTGAGAATCGACAGATAGAAAACAAACGACAAAACGCGTGGCAAAGAAGGAAGAGAAAAAAAAAAAGAAAAAGAATAGAAAAAGCCGGATCTCGAAAATTTTACAAAGGTGTACGCAAAGAGGTTGCATTATACGACTATGATATGACCAAGTACTCACGACGAGAGTAATGATAGAAAAGAAGCTTCTTCGGTTCGCAGTGACAACGATTATTATTTTACAATTCAAGCTTCTCGGATCATTCGTGGCCATCGATTGCACTGTTATATGGATTAGTTGATAATAATGGCTAGCAGTCCACATACGTATTTTGGCCCGTATCCTACCTAAGGGAAATTGAAGAAACCGAAAAACTCTTCCGCATCAGCAAAATGCAGAACAAAAAAGGGAGCCGGATAATTTGCGCACATGCAAATACTGTACGAGACTGTGTATGCGTTTATCTTTCGGCCTAAGTGAATTGGGGTCGATAGTGTACTTCTGTGGGGTAATCTCTTGGCTCGGATGGCTAGTTGTCGAAACTTTGACTAATTGTATTTACTTTGATTATTATTATTGGAAGATTTAACTAACTACTTCTTCTTTATTGTACCCATTCTTCCCGATTAGTCTATGCACTTGTTCATCTCCTAAGAACTCATTAGTTCACCCTGTCATCAAAATTATATATTGTCACATCATTGTCAAGACTTGTATCCGAATTACCCTTAATACTGTAGCCGGTGGTTATTATTTCTGGAAAATTTTTTACAATGTGTTTCGAGCGACTTGGATCGTGCAATGCTATATTGTCCTTTAGTTATATATAATTACTACTTATGGAGGCAGTTCCGAAGCGGCTACGCTCGCAGATGGTTGCGTGGTTATTGGTTAGGATGAATGTTATCATTAACATAAAAATGTCTCTTTACGAATCCTGCATTACGCTTCTATTCCCGAATTCAGTCGACTAGATTGTCATAGGACCACAATTCTAGTAGCATGACTATTACCATACGACAGCCAAGCCAGACCAGTCATCACTACTATAGCTGTATGTAATTAATCCAACTTTTATAAGATGCTATGTTTTTTTCCTGCTTCATTTTGATTTTTTCGCTGAATTATTATGTAAAAATGTGCTGCACGACTATAACTGTAAAGACATGGTGAAGGCGTCCAGGATATCGTCTTCGCGACGCATTTTGCGTAAAGCAAACGGAGAATGGACAACGGAGTTGAGTAGAAAGAAATAGAGATGAATGAAAGGAAGTGCTACACACGAGGACAAGCGTTAAAAGAAACGTGCAACCAGCAGCATGGCAATTAAATGCAAACAAGACATTACCAATGAATAAATGTATAATGCAAGTGAGTCAGTAACGTGATGAGGCCATTGAAAACATTGTATTGTTTTGCTGGCGGTATTCAGGCAAACAATCAGGCCCAGTCGAGGTGCCTATTAAGCTAAGGAGAGCATCAAAGAGCGTAAAGCTGTTCAAGGCCAACAAGTAGGGTTCAGCTGAAAAAAGTCTGATCGCAGACGATGGCAGTCAGCAAGCGAAGGGTGGGCAGCGACTTTAATGTCAAGTACTTTTTTCTTGTCTTTCGTTCCGTCTTGGTGGTAACAATATTAAAGGTCCTAATTTGCAATGAGATACTTAGGACGTAAATGTCGTCCCGGAAACAATGAAATAATGGGCTCCTATGCGGAGAAGAGTGACAGATTGATAAGTGGAAAGTGGTAACAGGCACGTATACGTTGTGAGGCGAATCGATGAGGGAAATATGCGGACGGCAAGTGGAAAAACAAGGGCATCCAATCAAAGCCGAAATGTCGATAGGAAATGTTATTGAAAAAAAGGCTGGCAAAAGAAGGTCCCAGAAAATCGAATTATGCGTTAGAAAAAAAGAACTCTAACAGCTGTCAATGAATGTGAGCCTGTTCAGGTTAAAAAATATTTTTGTCACGAGACGGACGTACTGCGAAAGGCAGTGGTCCACCACGGGGGTGATTGATCACGGGGGCAGTTACTTGCGGAAGATGACAGAATGAAGGAACAGTGATCTAGCAAATAGAGATATGTTCAAGAAGGAGACTTCGCCATTTCTAGAGAATTAACGAACATCATAGAATCGAATAAGTGTAGGGGTACAAGGGACAAAGACGCTGACAGAAAACACATTCAACGGATGTGTGTATGTAACGAAGAGGGTTCGTGTTGGTGCATCCTGGAGCACTTAGTAATAAAAATCTGCGTTTAGTTTCTTTGTGTTGGGAGAATAATATAACAATAAATCAGGTTTTCATCGCTAGTTTCTAGCCGTAAGTAACACTCCCCTAAGTCAGTCTATAGCAACCTAATTATACCCATATGAATGTATACATCTTGATTTTCTTTTTTCATGGATTATATATGTATATATTCCTTTTGGTTTTTTTTTAGATATCCGGCAATTAGTATGTCTATTCCTAGCTTGAAGGCGTTCTCGCAAACAAACACCGACCAGCCAGATTTCTACTTCTAGTAATTCAAAGAGATGATTTGGTGACCCACGTGGGCGATGTGAAGAAACAGGCAACAGGCAAGGCGTAAAGTATGCGTTCATCCTAAATGTATCTAAGTCTTGAAGTTGAGAACGAGAGTGTCGATACAGACGCAATACTGATTAATATTATTTAGAGTAATAAGAATATCATATATGTACACTAACCGATTGACCGAGTTCCCGATGCTAGAAAAGGGGCCAAGTTTTGCACTAGCTGTTATTTGGTCCCCATATGAGAGAAGATGAAGACTGATTCAGAGATATTGGTCAATGATAACGGAACATTATTACACACATATTTATATATATATATATACACACATTATATATACAAATATTACTTCACACACAGACTCGCTCAACCAAGAGGATTTAATGAGGTTTAATCGATGATTGAAAGAGGCGCAAAGCGCCTCGCGAATAACCCGCTGTCGACGGAATACCGAAAACTTGATCGATGAATAGTTGGGTACAGATAAAAAAAAATGGTAATGGTTAGCTGGCAAATAATGAATGGCGCCTACATAGTGAAGAACTCATATCCTCGTCGCTTCATGAAACCAGTAGTATTAATGACAGCTCGTGGATGGACGAGGCTGCAGACCAAACTGGGGGTTCTGTGATGAATACGAGGTGATTTAAGAATGAGTATGCAAAGAACAAGCTTTTCATTTCACGAGAGAGGAGAGTTCCGGAAATGGCATCGAGGAAAGAGGACTCTATGCAGAGATGAGGATCACGGCAGTCACCAGCAACACTCCGGCGGTGGGTTGAAGTAAATGTCTAACCGTGTTCAATTGCAAGAGTGAAAACTGAAGAATATTTACCCTTTAAGCGATCTCGGTGAAAGCGGTGGCGACCATTCTACACAAGGGGATAGAATTACTGGCCGTAACAAAATTGTTTACGGAAACTAAACAAACGGACGGCAGTTTTTATATATGTAAACGGCCGATTGAGCATTGTACCAGCAGTGATGATATTAACGATGATAAGACATACAAGACTGATAGCCGATCATTATACTTGACGCAGGAATATTTCAAGGTACAATGACGCCACAAATGGGAAGCCGTATGCTTCGACCTAAAATAGTTGAGAAGTGCTGGAACAGCCGGCGCCTCCGATCGATCGACTGATTATCACATCTTTTGCTTGAAAGCGCGTCTTCGTCAAAGATCCTAAGGTTCCATTCGACAAAGGGCTGCGCCGCTCTCAGACCATACCCGCATTGATGCACAGTATAGCAGTGATTTCTCGCCGCCCAGATGTGTGTGTAATTTTGTGTATATAATCGTTTTTTGACTCGTCGCGTCTTCAGGCTGATTCGGTGGTCGCTTTTGATGCCGGACAGTTGTGTGAACGGGTCGTTTAAGCTGTCTATATGGCTTGTTGTGGTTATGGAAGTAATACATGCGGTGGCAGCGCCTATATATGTGTCAGTTTGATTCGCTGACCGTTTGAAGAGCTTCTTGTGTCCACGGCCGCCATCAGCTGACACCAACGATGACAATACTAGCTAGAGCACGAGGCTCTTAAGCAGACTGAACTGGACTAACTACTGACAAAAATTGCGATAGCATTTTCTGCTGGATTTACGGCGCGTTGCAGCAAAATTGTTTGTTCGTCATATTTCTTTGCCCCTGAGTCAACTGGGCCGCTTTCGAATAGAAAGGAGGTGTTACGCTGCAGATTTGCTAACCCGATAGAAGCGATCAAGTGTTAATCCGAGCAGACCAGCCTGTCTTGACTGTTCTCGTTGCTACATTATGTGCAAAGGGTGTGTTTCTCCTTACTGAATACAATGATAATATTGGTTGCCGGTTTCGAGGCCATTGATGAATGGCTATGATCGTGCTAATGTGCAGAATTTTTCATAGAACCTTGCCTGGCGCCTGTTCTAAAACTACCCCTGAGCTAGCAATGTTCTATCAATCCGGTAATCACAAATAGGTATTTAATGAGGGAACGAAATAAGACGACGTACTGATTTAAATTTTCCAGAGTATTGATCGATGATCAAGAGCCAGAGAATGGTTGCCTTACGAGCCTTTTTGACGGAAAACAGAAAAGGAAAAGGTACTTCGCAAGAGTGGAGCCAATTTAATAATACTAAGATGGATTTTCGATGTTGGAGGGAAAAGTGCGATTTGAGATTAATTAATCGGGTGAGCGAAGTGAATGACATTTAATAGCGAGGCGTGTGATTCCTCAAAGGTGAACGCTGACCACGGCTTCGCGAAGTAAAGGAGTAAGGCTCACTTGGGCTGTAGACACTATGAACGAGATATACAGCGGTTTAATTACATGCAAAGGTTACCCAAGTAACAATATTTGAATAGATTATGGACCTGCAACTAAATGCCTAAATAAACATAGGTTACGGCGGGATCCATTCTCGAGTCTCCGCCATATGCCCGGCCACTGGGCCACATAAGATGTCGGTAACATCACGTGGCGTGAGCTAGGTCGACAGCACACGTCGATAGAGTGCATATAGAGAGAGGTCTAGCATATCCCTTAACAATGTTTTCTGGGAGCGTATGCTTGTCGCATTCTATTCTTGCAGATTTATGCACTTTAAACTTTATACACACAGAATAGTGCATAGAGACGTGAAGGAACTTATCGCATAGGGTGGACATACGGTGTCATTGATCTCAACAACACGATGGTAACGACCTATACAACCTATTTCGGGCCACCAAGTTCCATGGGTACGGCGAAATAGAGACAGCAAATAGTTCGATACAAGCGCAATGTTACATCATAACGAAACTTGAAAAACAGGGAGGCACGAACCTTTGTCGTCCTCTTGTGTTCCGTATATATGCATATCCCTAAGCGAAGAGTGGAAAGCAAGCCGCTATGTTTCCTTACATTTTGTCATGCTTCAAAAAGATTTGTTGTCGATTGAGCAAGCGCAAGTGCCCCGCAGTAAATAATTTATCACCGGCCCAGGACGGATACACATACAGACCGATCACGACAATAACAATATCTGTTAACCTACCACTAAGCTGTTGCAGGCTAGCGGAGATCGTCCTTCGACGAGTGGGTCCCGTCCTGCTCTGCCTTTGACCCATTTTCAATAAGTTACGATATAGTTTGTCATTAACGGGAAAAAAATAGCCCAATAGCCCAAGTAGCCGACGGAATTTTTGAACAGGGTTTGGAACAGAAACCCGAATTAGATTTGTGAATTCGGGTATTCGTAACTTGTGCTCTATGGACAATTGTCGATGAGAGAATATCACTATATTCGGATCGTTTTTCAAGTTCATTAATAAACTAGTTACTAACTAGTCATTATCTAAGCAGCATACATAGTAGCTATGTTTGAATTGAGGAGAAATATTCTATTAGTAAGATAATATGCAAAGAGTATTTGTGTGTGCTGGAAAGTTACTGGCTGGTTACTATCATTATCACTATTACTGAAAATAACAAGTGTGGGACGAAAAGTCTGGGAAATGAATAACTGGGTCATAGTGGGTGTACGAAATTGTGCAAGAATCTGAAAAATACGACTGTGGCATAAGGAAGCGAGCCCTGGGGAACATTCGTGGCGCTGGAGAACATGCCCATGCAAATATGCGGAGGCATCTTGTCTACGGTTCAGTTCTAAGTAACAAGAGAAAATTAGCTAATTGAAAGCATGGGCTGAGGCAAAAGACGAACAGGTCCGTTATAGATGCGGTGAAATAAACCGGGCAAGTATATAGCACGAAGATAAAAATGAGCGTGCGTTATGCGCAAACAGAAAAGCACAAAATAAGACAGTGTGTGTAGATGAAAAATATAAAGTATCACTCTCTGATCAAAACGATGCCATGACAATTATGGTAATGAGAATTTCATTTTTTTGGCTGCCCGGTCAACTTAATTATTGGATGCGCTCGTGAAGCCTTAATAACAACAAGAGTAGGTGATGAACACCAAATCAAAGAAAGTAGGGAATTCTAAATTTGCGGCGGCAGCTGCAAAGTTTCAAGGATCGAGGTCGTTTTCACAGGCCCGAGCAAAACCTACTTGTGTATCAAAACCGTGAGGGAGTTTTCTCACATAACCTCTGCAGTGCAGAGTGCTTCCACTTGAAACAGTGACGGCACGGATTTTCGAAACTGAGAGATAACGTTAAAAACTGGGTGGAAAATTCGCAACGAAGAGGACAAGTGGTGGCATGAATGATGAAAAAGAAGGGTGTCAAAGGAATTGAGCCTTTGAGTTGTAATTCGATAAACAAGGAAAATTTTTTAAGTAGGTTTCTCAAACAAAGATCTGCCTTCAAAGCTGAAAGACCAATCAACAACGGTAACAGACAGCAACACCAGTACCAAAAATATAACGATAATAACTTTGATGTGACTGATGGCTCTTGTTTATAGAGCAGCGTTGTATAGGTAATGGAAGGCAACAATTCGATAAACTAATTGGCGAGGAAAAATAAATGTGTGATATTTCTCATTATGCGTCGTTTGTGTTTTCACTTTGACGATTATTAGGTTTACGATTGAGTAAATGCAATGCAAGTAATTCCATAGATTGCTACGAAGTTGAAGAAAATAGGCATCTTCACCTATTTAAAGCTAAAAATAATAGTAATAACATTAATTAATTAATAAGAAAAATTATTAATATTATATTAAATTTTCCATTTCAGTGTTGACAGCTTCAATATAAAGTATGTAGATTAAAAGAATAACTAAGCGATTAACAGAAACCAATTTTTACGAGATTACACTACGAGACAACAACATCAGCAGCTAAAGTGATATTGGACTGAACCAGAAAGAAGTACCCCTTTGTTACTTCAGACAAGTGATTGTATTCGTGGATAATACTCTTCTCCCTTCTTGCCCGAATCTTAACGATTCATACATATACTTTTACTTTCCTATAATAAACAAATATCATTGGCGTGTTCATGTCCCTAGTGTCAAGAAAAAGGACAACAGGTATATAAAGCCGCAACTCTCGTTAATGTTATTATACCATAACTAACTCGTCAACTTCAGCGATGTACTTCAAAACAACTTAAGTTCATCATAGGCGTATACGGATGCTTTGGAAGTATATTATCCAGGAATCTTTTATATATCCAGTCGCAGCTATTGCACCAAGTATTTCTTTTTCATTCAAAAAATCAGGGCTCCACTATTAGCTGATGCACTTTTTTTGAACAATAATTATCCTATCATTGGGCGTTAGAGTAGCTAGTCCACTAACCGTTAAAGAAGCGGATAATATCAGTAAAGTCCATGCGGTTCTCGAGGATAATCTCGCGATAATATTTAACCATTGCTAATGCGACGAAGAGACCGAACGAAGGACTGGCAACGTGTTGTGCTGCCCAAATTGTCTCCCACACCTGAAGTATATGCGTGTCAAGAACATTTAATTGCATTTAATTTTAAGCAATGAAATGAAGTCACGTGAAAAATAGTAAAAACTGTGCTTCGTCTTCAATAAAGAATCATGGTAATTTTGTTGTTCCCTTTAGCTATACAAAGTCATTACGGTCTAATTGGTAATTGAGACGATTTGGCTGACTGCTATATTTTACCTGGAAAACGTCATCGTAAACCAGCTCTCGTTTGAAGTCGAGTAAAAACCATCGGTAACAGAAGTAAAAATGAGTGTAATCCCCATTTTGCTGCATCAACGAAAACATTTCGTTGTCCAAAATCTGAAACAACAATGGCCAACGATTATAAGGTGCAATCTATTAAGCATGTTAAACCTGATGGCCAACTAAGACATTTTGAGTGAATGATCTCTATTGTCGTTGGTAAATCTTAAAGCTCCCACCTGTATCAATGATCGCATGTTGGCAAAGTGTTCATCCATCGCTCCCCCATGAGGGAAATTGGCTGCCATCCTTTTCATGAGTTCGCAAAAGCATGAGTAGGTCATTACCTCTACGAATCGAATACAAGCAAAAACATAATTAGATTCAATCATGTAGTCATTCATCCGCATTAACAGATATAAACAGCTTTCCACAATTATATCTAATTAGCCGAGTTCTGCAGAAGTTACTGTCACTTGTTTTTTGCAGTTATCCGTCGTTGTAGAGACAACAGACTTTACTCCTTGAAATGCTCCCGACAAACGAAGCAACTTGGTTTGTTGACGACTCCAATAAACTGTGATCATCAAACAGGTTAGCTTAAGTTGCTGCTATTCAGCTGCTACGACAGCAATGCCAGTGCAAATCGATGAAAAAAATGCAGCTCATGGCTAGATAACCATGAAACGTAACCATACGATTAAATGTTAAGGGGCGAAGCGGAAGCGAGTTTTTCTGTCCAACACGTCCTCATTTAGCGTCCAATTTTCTAAAAAAAGCTTACCATCATCGAAGACAGCAAGCAATGGGGCGGCTAAATCGCACATTCCCTGAACGTAACCAACATCCAGATGTTCCCACACGTATGTACACATGACATTTCGCAACTTGTCCAAATTATCCCCATTTTCAAAGTAGGACACGTTGCGATCGCAGCGTCTAACATCCTTATCGATTCGGTGCATATTTAGGCCGAATAAGTCTAGCAGATCAGACTAAACAGAGAACGAAGGATTACATACAAAGGCAGATTTTTTCAAATAAACGAAATTTTCCGTAAATGCCTTGTTATCAAAGAAGACTTGTTATATAATGAAAATATATCCCAATAATTAACATCCTAAGATGAGTTTCGATTTTAGGTAGCTTGAAATAAAGAACAGTTGACAGGTTATACCTCAGTGCCTTTAAATCCAATAACATTAGAATGAAGCTTGGCCCCCTTTAGGGAGCTTTTGAGTAAGTATGATTTTTTATTACAGGTGGATTTTCTAACCGTAAATGCAGCTCCTGAAGACGACGCCGGCGAAGCGCATTCGCTTCTAGGCTCCACTGTTAATTCATGCAAAGACAATGAATTAGAAAGCTCAGGCCCTTGGAGACAACCGAAAGCTGCCTGATCTCCTGCTGATGTTCGTTCATTTTCGTTCTCTTCAGGATTGTCATTATAATTATCTTCAAGATCGTTCTCTTCACAGGATAGCTTCGTTGTACATTCCTAAATATCGCAATATAATTAGATGGCTCCATATATATATATATATATATATATATACATATATTAAATGAGGGTGTATCGCAATCCTTATTATTGAGTAGCATATATATTCATCGATATCGAGCACTGGCAGATAGATGTAGTTTTGAAACAACAAAAAACGAGGTATCTACGTACCAAAACACCGCTAACCACAACATTACTGTCTGCATGATTTTCATCGAGGATTGTTGATTTCGTTGCTTCATTTCCTGAAATATAGGCCAGTTAATCGAGTTATATTTCAGAGCCATTTATATAATGCGTAGCAGTTCAAGTTTTCCTGCTTGTTTAACTAAAGTACTGTACTAATTAACGATCTGGTCGGCATTACACAGATGTCAGTTCAGCCGAATGACCTTTATCAACTGTATGTAAAGAAGTGGACCATATCTGATTTATGTCTACCAATAATATAGCTGCTGGATTTATCAAGAATATGTTGTCTACGAAAAAAAGAGCGACTGGGGCTGGTATCAAAATCGTTAAAAAATACAACAGGCAGATTAGCATGTCTAAGCAAGAAGTTTTAAAGCTCTATCAACTTCAAATAATAGAAGGAATCGGTGCTTCTTAGCTTTCATTACTCCATTGGCTAGTCTTGACCTACCCTCCGTAATAGCACTATCATCCTCGAACACATCATTATTGTCACTGCTTAGCGCGTGCGACATCGCTAGAGGGATCTCCGAACACTGCGTCGTTGAACCGCCAGACGAAAGGCGCAAGGCGGCAGCAGTTTCCTTATCCCGCTGGCGCACTGAGATAAATCAACAAAACAACACAATTTAAAGGAATAAATTCAGACATTTAACGTGTTCGATATTGGAAGGCAAAAAGATACGGACAAGCGCGTTTTTTCAGACATGTTTTTTTTAGTCAGCTCACTACGGGCTGCTGAGAACAAAACTACTTCTTGTTTCAAAAAACGATACGTCTCAGCAATACCGTGCCAAGTAAGTAGTAACGCTCGGGACGGCTAGGAACATTAACTTGCGCGTGCGAAATCTTCCCAGCGGTATCTTTATTGGAAATTTGGTAGTTAAAAAAAAAAAAATAACAAATGGCAAACGCGGTTACTGGTTGAAAAGTTAGGCTCACGATTACAAGTAATAGCCACTTGGTTGAACTCACTTGTTTCTACAAAAGTACAATACTCACCGATGGCTTCTGCGGCCAACCATTCAGACATGGTTGTCTCAAACGCCTCCTGACTCTTATTGTCTTTCTGGTGACACTCCTTGTACGTATAACTCATTTTATAGTGGCCGAGAAGATACGGCCACACCTGTTGCATGGTAAATGTACAGTGCCAAATAGACAAAATGTGATCGTAGTGAGACTCAAACTTAACGCCATCAATAATTGCGCTAATTTTAGACTATTTTTCTCTCTCAATCGAAGAACAGATTAGACTGGGACGTCTAATTTAGGCTAATTCGGCTTGCAATTACGTGAGGTCTGGCCACTTCCATGCCGAGAACACTCAGTTTATACAGATATGTTATAGCGCAATGCGAACCCTTATTGTACCGCTATAAAGCAAATGCCCATACTATCTACAAAACAATTGCAAAATATATTAACAAGTAAACAAAAGGCAAAAACACTATTTGCCCGATTTGATAACAACCTACTTATCTCTAATATAGGTTAACTGTTTAATCTTGCCTTGCTTCGAAGATTTGGTTCAACCCCGCCGAAATAGACCAGGCGGAGCACCTCTTGAGGATCTCTGATCGACCCGTCATTAGCCAAAAGTTCCTGCCATCTTGTGCAGCTTAGAGGTTGATCTGTGGCTGGAGCCGCAAGTGGATGAACTAGTCCAGACAGATGGGTACGTACAGTGCGTAAGTGTCGACAATGTGCCAACCCTGTGCAATGCCACAACATGTATCGATTGTAAACAATACGGACACAAGGGTAAATTAATTGAGACTAATACTTAGAAATCAGGGCAATAGTCAAGTGTTTTTGGTCCGACGATGAAACGCAAACGGGGAAAAGCCATTATGGATCTTTAGTTTTTTTATAGTTAGGTTATGAGGTGCCGCGGCAAACGTGTTATCACCACCGCAGCACCTCACAATACGCCTGACACTTTACAGGAGTGCACCCCTTACCGGAAGGTTTCTTGTAATCCGCCACACTTTAGGACAAGATTTAGCTACGTTAAGTTTTAAAATCTTGGTAAGCATTATGTGAAACAGATAATTTCTAGCAAAATTTATATGTAATAAATTACAAAAGAATAACGTTAACACACGTTTCAAAATTAAAGACAACCAAAATTGATAAAAAGCTGCTATCATACTCACACCCATAAAATGCCCTGCTGAGAATCTGCCGCTTCATTGTTGAACATAAAGCTTCTAAACTTTCATCACCTAATTTAGTTATTTCCGCTGAATTTTTCGGCCTCTCTTTCTGTAATATAATTGAAAGCGGAACCGTTGTTTTTTACATTCTCACCAATCATCATTACCCAAGTATGAGGGTTGGCATTGAAAAGTGAAATACGTAAACAGTTGAATGAATGAATGAATTAATTGAGAAATTACGTAACCATATCCTAGTGAAGCTATTAATTGACTGGAATCTTCAAACTGCAGACGGCGACCGAAGCAGGTCCTAACAGAAATCGTCGCTGTTTAGCATAATAGACCTTTATACATATACAAATTTCATATCTACGACGCAATTAAAGGACGTAGGTAAATTAATCTTAGGTTAAGGAGAGAAAGTTCAAGTAAGTTCGTTCTTACCTTCCGGTCTTCTGCAACAATCGGCTCAATTTCGATCGCCTCATCGGCGTCCACAGACTCATCCGACGAGCTGCTACTCGTTTGTTGACTCATAACGGAAGACTTATGACCGTGGCCGTGTATTACACGAAACACAAGGTCTTGTTCGTTCGATGCTGGCATGCTCTGACGCTTCAGTTTGGCTAGCACTTTCCCTCCTAGGAAAAGTATTTTTTTTACATTTCTCATTTTTGTGACACGTATTGGTATAATAAGCTAATGTATCCATGTCTGAAGGTGCCTAATTTGTGGTTTAAGAATGACTAATTTCAACTACAAGAAGATAAGCATTAAATACAAAATACTGAGTACGAAGTAGGCAACTGAACATCAAGAGGAAAGTAAAACAACTACCTAATAGTTTGAAAATTTTATATATATATATATACTATTACTCTAAACAGGCCGAAAAAATTGTAAACGTATACGCTCTGGTATCGATTTATGCTCTTTTCGGGTTCTACACAACAAGCTCATCCAGACGCGTTATGCAAAAAAATAAAGCAAATAATTTAATTGGAACCTGAACGCATAGATTTTTTGCTTTTATGTTACGTAGTTTCTTCGTTTTTTTGATCATTGTAAATTATACGTGCCCGCTGATTATTCCTAACTTAGACGCGGCCAGTTTTTACCAGACATCAATTAGGTGGGGTTTTAAACTCCACCTTTCCAAAAATCTTGTCAGTCTCTTTTATCGCCTAGTTTCTCAGCTACACGAGATAAAGTGAGTACACTTTTCTCTCACTATTCCTAATATCGACCCTTTAGACTCGGCTCTCCGATATCTCTCAGCCGAATCTTAGCCCTGTCCCATTTTATAAATCATTAAAGATCGAATAGCAGTGGTTTTTTGACAGGTTTATGGTCAGGTAGGCTTCGACACTTGAACGTGTTCCGAACATGTTTTCGACCCAAAACAGCAAATTTGGACATAAATCTTAAAGGTGTATTGATTGTAAGTCGTCTCAGTTTAGCTAGGCCATAGGCTTAGTTATTGAGCTCTAGTATAAACAGCTCGATTTAGAAAAGAGCAATATTGGAATATCTTCGCTTATATTCATATATATAAGCAGAAAGAAATTGTTCTTTCCGACGACAAATAATAGCTGCGTAACATAATATGATTTTTGCGCAATAAAATGTGATTTTTCTCGCGATAGTAAACATTCAATCACAGTTCAGTAATTGTACCAAGTAATTATATTGACTAACGAAGGCTAACCGGCTCCAATACGCTATTTCGATAGTTATTGGCATGCCCAGAAATCCCCACGTCGTTTCATGTCAGCATAGGCCAATTCACAGGCCAGCTCTGAGACTGATATCTACTGTTGCTCTTCATTGTTGATTGCCTTGGCTAAACGATATTTCTGATAACTAATAACCTCCTCCAGCATGAAAAAGGCTGTACATTCACGCCCAGTTTTGAGCCTAGACTGCTTACCCCGTGTACCTGCGTTTACCAGACAAACACGATACCTCCGGTACAATACAAGAACGGTATTGCTAATACCAGCCCGAGTCACACACGCTATGAATAATACTAACCCGTATGATTACTGTGAATCGTCTGTGTGGCCAATGGCGGATCGAGTCTGCTTAGTGGTAGCAGGGCGCCCTCAAGGCAGGCCAGGAACTGCAGCAGTTGGCGGCTGTCACCTTTCGGAAACACGATCGGAGGTCGCTGTACCCCATCCTGTCCGACCAAGACTAAACTGCCTTCCTGATCGGCGTTTTGATGACAATGCAAATAAACCACCTCGGACATCTTCACCTGTTATAGTACAGATGAACGAAGTTACCACACAAATTTAGCTGAAAAATTTAGTAGCGAAATAATTTAACCAGACGAATTTACATAGCATTTCACTTTGATAACATCCACTGCTTCTAATTCTAAGCTTAGGAAACGAGCTGATATAGAGTGGGCAATATAAATCTATATATGCTTAGAAACAATACATTCAGCAACAATACCAGCTTCCTATTTTTTTGGTCTGGGCTCCCACCTTGATCGCATGTTCCCAGTAGATGGAATGAGTGGCCGCAGAGCCGTTGCTATATTCGCATGGAGCACCTGTCGTCGAATCGCCACTGCCATTCATGAGCTGATTCGGAGTCCATTTGAGTACAAGTCCGGCCGCAGACGGTTCGTGATGCAGCGATAAATAGCCTCGCAAGGGCTCTGGGCAGTTGTGCTACATACAGGTGCAAATTTGAACATGGATAAAGCGAATTTATAAAAATGCCCATTATATTCCAATTCTTCATCAATACAGACAGCGCTCTTTAACAAAAAAATGTTTTTTTTTTATCCTACATGCATTTAATTAGCATTGACATTAAATGCTAAGTATATTGTTGTGCGTGCGAACCCGTATCGTTTTTAATTTCCGTTACTCCTGTACTTTTTAATAGATACAGGCTGCATGAAGTTGTTAACTGTTGAGAACGGAGCTGATTAAAAAAAGTAGTCATTAGTTAGTCATAGGCATAGGAAACCCTTCCAACTAAGAATTACATATTGAGTATTTTACGGACAAAAATTCCTCTGTCACCCATAAGAAAGCTACCATAGAAATGGCATTATCGAAGTTTTTTTTATGAACATTTAATCCAAAATTTTACCTGGACGTCGTATTTACAGGAAATACTGCGTCCGTCTAAGTTTTAATGATCAAGTCCAAGTCGGTGTAGTTCTATCTAAACACGTTGGATTGTACACTTTGGTCTCATTCGAAGGAAGCCAGGTAACTTCATTGCAAACCTCTACAGTTGGAACAAACGATTTCGATCTTTACTGCAAACAAATCAACGCATCGTCGACATTGACCTTTTGTCCTTGTGCTCTCAGGAGATGTTGCTGTTTGCATATATACATTACTTATTGTGCGGTTCCAATAATCGAAAAAAAATTTCTAAAATATGTTAGGGGTTATATAGGTACTTTGCTGATCCGCAATTCATTTATGTTTACGCTGCCCTTAGTTGAACCGTACCGGGTGGACAACAACATTATTTTTTCCATAAATCAGCGTTGAGCGGGGGTTTTGATGGAGACTTTCGACGTAATCACGTGCCTGGTTCGTTCCCACACTTCCAACACTTCCTGTGCTACCGCTTCCAGTACCTGGTCCCGACTGAAATACACGGCCACTAACGGAATCCTCACTGCTGCTGCCGGCTGCTCGTCGATACTGTAACGTCACAGACACGTCTTACGTTATAGAACATATTCATCAATGTGTGCTGATATAGTCGAACTCCAAGGCCAGTTCGTGTTCCACTCTCAAAGACAATAAAGATAATACCTAATAGCAATAAGGAAATGGCTAATTATATAGATGGTTATATATAACGTGAAGCAAAAGTCGTTCGACAGTTTGAGTCTTTATGTCACTCTATTTTGCCCTTGTTTTTTTCTCCTACCACTTCAATAGGCGTATGATGAAAACCCTTTGGTAAACTGTCAAAAGACGTTTATCTAACCTAATATAGATATATATAAAATACTTTCTCTGTTTCTTATAGAGAGAGGGGGGGACAGTTGCAGGATTGGTAACCACTTTAACGCGTGTTAGAATAAAAAACTAGGCAAGACAAAAAGCTAAACGCGTTCGTTAAATTTTATCCATAAGCACTTTACAGTTAAAAATCGTCCTAGTCTCTGTTCAGGCCATAAACGGCGGCTTTTTCACGTAATAAACAGCGATGCAATTTGCGCTGGTAGTAATACTGCCGAATTAATTGATTGCTCAACCCGACTTCTGCTTCTTTTACCATTATATAGCCTTCAACAAAATCATTCATTGAGCATGAGAAACAACTCCAATTAGTAGTACAGCTTTACCACGTTAATTATATAAATATATATTAAATATATAAATAATATATATAAATGTAAATAATAAATAATTGTCGAGTGAGTTGGGTTCATTGCTAGCATAGGCATTTTCTCCAAACAGACTTTGTTCTTCTGTTTTGCTTGCCGTGTTCTACGGTTTCGCAGATATATAAAGTGACTGAAACGCTGTGCCTCCATGTCATTAGCTTGTTATCGCGTTGCTCGTAGTTACAAATGTCTGAGGCATTTGAAAGAAAGCTATTCGGTGTTCAGCCTTTGTTATTGTTTTTTTGCGAAAGAATAAAGTCGAAGCCTGAGTGGCTAATAATTCCCCCTGGATCTTAGTTTCCTTATTCCACCTGACCTTAGGATGATCTTAAAGAAACAAACTGTTTGCTGCTATTTTATCGGATATTAATTCGCTAACACACGTGTGCTTGATTAGTTTCATTGAGTTGTACCCAGTTAGATTGTCTGACGCACATGTCTTATCCATGATTGGTAATTGTTTGTTCACTCGGTGCTTCTTCTAGAACTTCAATCGAGGTGTGTTATATTTTTTTCTCATTTTTGTAGCGGTCCTTTCTCTAGAAGCAGTTTCATCGTTGCAACGTTTTTTTACTAACTAGTAAATTCCATTCATTGAACAAAATGAAAAGTCTTGCCAAGTAGGATCTTGAATAAATTCGTTTCAGATGTTGTACCTACGTAACCTAAAATCATAAGCCCTTTTTAGCCTTTCGAAGCGGACTTGTCGATGTTTCTGTCGTAAATGTCTTTGGGTTGGCTTCCGGCGCTTTTTTGCGACTGCTAGGGAAGGACATTCGTAAGATCGTTTAGTCCAACCATGCCCCACCGCTTGAACTTGCATCCTGCGGTGTTTCTGTATTCAGAAACCTTTTCTCGGAGTTAAATTAATTAGGTGACTACCTCATTATATGATACACTTCGAATTAAATCAATATCGTATCGTTTGAGATCATGAAACATAGAAGACTAGAAGCAGGAGATGCCTTTTCCGTATAGTCTACACTTAGATATTCAGGCGTAGTGTTGCCCTTCGTGTGAATACGAACAGTTGAGAACATTTAATGGTTGAACTTAGGTAGTCGGCTTGTTTACACCAGTAGATTTCGATTGATTTTTAGTGAAAACTGTATCAAATCATCTAGCATGGGAAGGCCTAAGGCCTAAGATCATGATGTCGGTCGATGTTTATTTTTCTTTAGTATATGAACATACTCAATGGTATGCTAAAACCAAGCCAATTACACGTAAACATACATCATCGTATAGCATGACTTGCAGTGTTACCCATTTGCTAAGTGTAAACATAATTGCGGGTACTACGCTTTGCGTGCAAATTCTGTGTATAAAACGAAGTTTTCGCTAGCAATAGTTATTCATTAGTTTATAAAAATCGACACTTGCGTAGGTTTGGCTTCAGATTTTAAATGAGGTTTTGAGCCGCTTTTACAAAATTTGAAAATATGACTAAGTTTTACGTGTATACGTTGTCGGAAGTGTATAAGTGAAACTTTCTTTATCGCGATCATTTTCAATTTATTGTGTAACAAATATTTCACCCTTAAAATAATATATCTATATAAAATGCCATTGGAGACTTAGCAGCGGCAGCAGCAGTAGAAAACGACGAAGTTGAGAACGATTTTAGCACGCGATAGATTTAGTGCGACGTAGCATAAGGCGGGATCTAACGGCGAGGGCGTCTATTTGTAGAAAAAACATCAACCTTTTCGTGTGTTAGATTGTATCGTTGGACCGATAATGGCGCCCGCCGCAATACATGGACTTATCACCATATAATCACGGACTACGATATTCGATTCAGCATATTTAATAATTTCCACGAGCTCCGTTTAGTCTGCTTAGGCTATGCCACATACCCTAAAATAAGCTAATAAAAAAAAAATCGAATCGTTTCCCGGAATCCAATTCGCTGACCATTGAAACTTGAAAAGCAAAAATAGCAACTTCTACAGTTAGATGTCCTGCAAATTATTAATTATTTCTATGATAACTACTCAAAAAGTCGTTAAACCTGAGCTTGCATTGAAGTTTACGGAGTTTTTTTTTTTTATTTTATGATAAGATGATTGTTTCCAGATGTGTCGTTTTCGACAATGGTTTCTTATCAGGCCGAATCAAATAAAGATAATTTATATATATATATATATTTTTTTTTTTTTTTTATTTTAAAGATAGCTATCAAAATGTCTCTTTTGATGCTACGTACACTTAGTGTGGGTCGCTTAGATGCATTAGGTGGTGTTGTCGGCTTAGGGTGGGTACCCTGTCTGTTTTGTTGCGGCATTATCGACCCACCGAGCGCATTACTTAGTTTATGACGCTGTAAGAGCTCATCAGCTGGAGGATCCGTCCAGAAGTGATCTTGGGTCTTCATACGAGAATAGTCTAATGCACAGGGTCCAACTGGTGAAGTTGCAAGCATGAATTTATCATAAAGTGTACGGATTAAATTATTATGTAATTCTTCGATAGACGAATCGTCATTTAGTCAACAGTAATCGTTGCCGACATTAGTGATCTCGAAATAGTGCGAACAAATCGTAGACGACTTTGTTCAGCTATTGTTTAATCTAACACAGAAAATATATGTTAAAGTATCTGTTAATCGCTATTATATTTATCTTAAAATCATGGTATTTGGCTATTTTACATATAATAAGTATAGTAAAGAGAATGTTTCTATTCCGAACGGATCAAAAAAGCTATTTCGCTGGTTCACTGCGTTCATCATTCTATATTAAACTGAGTTCATTAGATATTTGTCAAAGCTAGGCAACTGCAAAAAAATGTTATTATCTCTAGAGAATATTTGTCCACACGTTACTTCTAATGTGGAACACAAAAATTTTTACATGCAGATAAATTGAATAACAAAGTAGTAAAGGCAGTAGCGAATCAGAAAAAAAAGAGAATTTACTATAGAATATAGAATTCGCGTGTTTACCAAGAAGTGAAGCGAGTATTTGTCCGGATACGGGGTCAGCAACAAGAGCATCCTTCTCATAATATTTACTGAAAGTGAATCAATAAAAACCAAACCCTAAATTTACTCCATATACTTACTCCTATGTGTGCTGCTTACGTTTGAGCTACCTGCAATGGCAGGATTTTTAAAGTTTGGAAACCTGTAATTAAAAACAGCTGTATATTTATTTGAATCATTAAATTCAAATAAATAATTATAATACCTTAATGTCCACTAGCTTGCCAAATGTTTGAATGTATAATCAAGATGAATCATTTTTGCCTGTATTGTATACACCATGTCTTGCCCCCTTTGACATAATAAAAAGGTACCTACATTGTAAATTTAAAAACCAATAATGCTTAACCGAACTTAGCTCTTAGTCGAAGAATAGACAGGAACCTTAGTCATTTCGTTTGTTGCCTGGGAAGCTGATGTAGCTACATGTCGCTGCTTCTCTCACACTTTAATTATCAAATATTCTACCTGAAACGAGTTCTTTAAGATAATCAAAAGTATCTACATAGGTTTGTTTGGTGCAGTTTCGTTCTCTACCTGGCATTTTCTACGAGATAATCGACGAGTTTGGCGAGGTGCTTCTCGAACAGGGCCACACGAATCCACAAGTAACGTATACCGACCGCGGCAACTGAACGATTTTTTCCGGAGCCTGAGGCACTGGAAGTTGCCTGACGTTGCGGAGTACCTGACGTGCTGTCCCCGGATGAGGAAGACCGTCTTTATCAGAGCAGGAAATCACGCAGAATTTCAGTAATTATTAAAGTACTTTATCCTAGCATGTACACGCAGAGCATCTTTTTCTTCCATGGTCTTTTTTTTTGACATGTCATTGTTTTTTTCCAACTACAGTCATTTACCCAATTTCAGTAGTAAATGCTTGTCTTTTAATCAAGTGGTCATTCAACATTTAACTCCTAAGGCAAGTAATATGCATGACATATAAGCAAAGACCTGTGGTTAATAGCAGTAGCGTTTAAAAAGGTCTGTTTGCGTCATAGTTGCGTTCCGTATAGCAATGGTGTAGACAACGGGTCTTGCCAATATACACTAATTCCAATGACAGCGCTGTAAAATCTAAATGCTGAGGTGTATCCGGATTTTATTACAATTATGAGGTTCGCTTCTGTTGAGATTAGAATGAACCGTTTCCCTAATTCTGCATAAATATTATATTTAGCCACTTATTCATATGACTAGATGTCATCCTTGAAATCAGAATCGGTTAATTGTCGAAGTAGTGCTCCTCAAGAATACTCAACTCATGCCATTGAAGAGGTAATAAGGACTTACTGGAGCGCCACAGGCTTCAAGTTATATCTGAATTAGTGTGCATTTAAAGACCACCCAGTGCTGAGCATACGCAATGTCTAAACTGGTCAACAAATCATCATTATCATCAAGGCCAGCAAGAGGGTGTTGTGCCGCCTGCTAGAGGTTGGTTATACGATGTGCAAAACGTTATTGGAATAACATAAGCCGACCGTTTTTTGGTTGCCACTTCCAAAAGACAAGTTTTGGATAGACGGTAATGTGCCCAGGCCTGTAAGTGAATGTTACTGTCAAGAGGCACTTGCAGAGATCTTACTGGTTAACGAATGACAAAGCCACAGTGGGAGATAGCAGCGTCAATTAAGCAGTGTGAGTAATTTACCCAGCGATTTAATTCGCGATTAATCGGAAGTACTTACATATAATTTTATTATGTATGCGGTTAACCATGTAGCTTTTAGCAAGCAAGTCAAGCTTTTTTAAGAACGTGCTTCCGACTATCAGAGCAGTGTGGATCAAACAATTCCTTCGAGGCTTCGTTCAAAATCTTCTATGCGAAAAATTTATAGTTTATTCACCGTTAAAGCACATGTCGATACAATGAATCCCTCGTTTAATAAAAAACTACTTACACTTCACATACAGTTCTAATACTATCCAACATAGGGTTTAGGTTTTCGTTGGATGCTTCTGAGGGCGTGTTTAATTCTACTGAACAATTGTTATTATGTTAGAAAAATACTGCCACTGAATACAAGAGAACCTCGTTCCAAAACATTTGCAATTTCTCAGCAGAAGTTTGCAATATTAAAAATTATGTACTTATATTTGAGCGCCGAAGAAAGTTAGGTTACAATTTATACCGGGTTCGACAGACTAGCTTTAAAATGTCGAAAAGTACATAAATTATGCCATTATTTTTAAATTAAGAAAGAAATGCTTAGATTTTATATATACTGCATGTCTTAGTTCTTGAAAGCATTTCAGCTTAATCTTCTGACAGTTATGAGTATTTTCCCAGCTATTGCGGATTTGCGAGATGCCCATAGGACTCATTAGAACCGTGACATGAACGTGAAAAGTGGTACTTATTCAGACAAAAGAAACCAAGGTTTTTCTAGGAACTGACGTAAAATCAAGTTTTTGTCTAAAATAACGAAAGAATAGAAAAAAATCAGAGCTCGCTTTAGGAAAGTTGAGTAAAATAAAAGCAGGTGTTGCAAAAATTATTTCAGATATAATTTTTTTCTCTCGTATGCAATGATGTGTGCGCTCCTTCGAACCCAACACGAAGTACGTTATAAAATGTATATTGCAAACATAATGGTTTTAATAACAAACGAAGTGGTTTCATAAGACGTATCTGTGTAGACGGATTTCAGTGAATCCGACAAGATGCTTGACAACGTCATTTTGAAAGTTTCTAGTGTTAAATCGTTATGGCTTTACCACACGGATACCAGTATATAGTAACGTAAGAAAATACAATGATGGTTCGCTACTTGAGATGTTATACGTTTACAGTTGGCAATAGGAAATGTATTCCTGCTCAACATGTCAGCTTGCAGTACAGTCAAGTACAGCTGTTTCACTGGCAGTGCCTGTTATCGGTTTCACGTACTACAGATGTTCCAGGGTTGACCCGGACCGAACGTAGGAGCCGTAAATGCAACGATTTCTTGTGGCATGTAGTAGCACTGCCGTTTCCTACGGTCATGATTATTGAACATAATCACCATTTAACATGACTAAAACTTTAACTTGGGGCCTAAAGCGCTAATTGCTAAAATGTCATTTAAACACAAAATATTCAAGCGGATTAAATTTTATACCAGTAGCAGACAAAAGTATGAAATGGTCCTAAAAAGTGCGAATGGTGCATAAAATTTCAGATAGACTAACTATTAATGTTTATCTAAACGACACAAATAATTGATATTTTGCTTACCGAAAAAAACGGTCTCTATTTTCTGCAGAAAAAATCTAAGTGGCTCCAAATAAAAAATTGATTTTCAGATATAAATTCTATTGAAAACCTTTGGGTCGCCCCATAAAAAATTTCTCCGGATTTTTCAGGAGCTGCATGAAAACTAGCAATAATAGGAATCTTCGATTTCGAACGAAAAAAGCTATGTTTGACACTTTGCCTAGCTTAGATATATTGGATAATAATTGATCTTCGCTTCAGTTTCAAAAATGATCTAGTGTTTTACGCTATTACGAGTCTGTTCATTTGTTCTCGAAAAAATTGGCTTTTTTTTTGCGACTGGGTGTACGGGACGAATGAGTGCCCGCTGCAAATGACTCGCCAAAGTTGATCCGACCTTCGACGCAGCAGTTTATATACACTTTGAATGTATTTGCATTCCGAATACCTTGGGGTCGTCCAATGATGCATACTTCGACTGCTGTTTTACTGACGAAGGAAAAGCTTAGAGTAGAACTTAGCAACTGTAAAACTCTGTGCAAATACGTTCTCATATTTCAATGTCATCGATTGAAGTTATCTTCGCTTAAGCCTGGCACTATTTTTTTTACAGAGCAGGAAACCCTAAATTCAGTGCCTCGGATGGTATTAAATATGTTGAGCACTTTGCTACAAAAACCGAAGTGATTGTTTACACATGTTTACAATACGCAGAGGAAGGAGTTTAGGTAAAACGAAAATATTTCTATTGTAGTAGAAATAATTGAATTAAAAAGCTAAAAAATAATAAAAATATTATTACAAGCTAGAGAACTAATTTTTGCATGTATATCATACTCCTGCTACCAATATGATTGGCAATAGATCGCTAGGACAGGGTCAGTGAGAACTGAAAATTATATCACGATTAAAAAATTGTGTAATCTTAGAAGACTGTCTTTTCTAGGAACTTTTAACATTAAGTTTATGTAGGGTAAAGTAAGAAATGCTCCAGGCGGTGTGCCAGACCATAATGAATAAGCCACAGAATTATTTTTTCGTTATTTGCACCGTATCTGACTTAAATGTAGGTCTCATTTCAAAGGCTTAAAGTATACCTCGAATGTGCAATAGAGGCTTAAAATATATCGTGATATAAAGTGCTTTCGATATGAGGTTCTGTTGGTGAATATATAATAATCAGATCTGTTTTACAATGACTGATAAAAAAAGTACATATTCCAGATCGTTACGACGTGATTTGATAAACTGTCGTCATATCACTTTACGTCTTGATGAATCCCAGCTTCTGTCAAGTCCAGAATAACCCGCACTACCACGACAACACTTAATTTTTCTTATTATTGTGTCTCATTCCACTGTGGCTTTTAACTATTACTTACTTTATACTTATAAGAATAAAATATGAGTTTTTGAAATTTTAAATAACTCATAGGACGGTGATAAGCTAGTCTAACCCTTCTGTTCTCATTGTGGCTTTTAGGAACAATGGGTGATCACCACTTTAGTCGACTCATCGACCCGAATTACTAGTTTTATCTGTTTTTCATTTCAAATGACTTTATTCTAAGCTACAGTTATAATTAATAATACTATCTACTACTTACTGACATTACTATTGTATTATCATTATAATATTTTTGTTTGTTATACGTACATACTTTGTCCACTAGCGTTGCTTATTTTTGCTTTTTCGCTAACCCTATTTTTACTGCAGGCATCGTCTATTCTTAACGGTGGCGAACTTCTTCGACACATCTGTTTTTTATTTTTACTATATTTAATGTTAGCAAATACATTTGTTTTTCCTCGCTCATTGTTTCTCGCCGCTGAATGGACCATGCCGCCTCACTTAATCAGAATGCTGGTGCAAGCTGTTTTCTTACCCATTGGAAAGCTGGGAGCTTTAGTGTAGGATGTGGGTTCGTAGCTGAGGGATCTTTCAAGCAGCGACAATGATGACAAGGAAACCGTGCCAGTCAGCGAGGGCTAAGGATGTTGTAGAGGGCGTATAGTGATGAAAAGAGAGCCTTTTGTGTGAACATAAGGGCACTGACGACGACACCGACTGTGTCCCGTGCCTTCAACAAGATATGTTGCTTATGCAAGCTAAGTGGAACTGAATGGAGAGCACAACGTGACAAGACAGCTAGATGGCAATTTTGCATCAGTAGCTATGCCATTGACATTGAAAGAAATAGATAAGATCTAGGCATCGATGCCAAGCACCAGCTTCGGCGATTACCAATCTGAGTGCACTCGGACGGAGTGAAGACGCTTTTTTACGTACTATACGCACTGCAATGATATCAGTACAGTTACATTTTACAAAACCTGTGCAGTGCTTTTTAAAGAGAGTTCGCAGGGTGTGCCTGTGTCGAGTAAAGGGGGTACTATTAACTTGCTACTTTTTCGGATACCCGTTATATTTGATGTGATTATTTTGTTTATAGTAACATTTCTGCGCTTCTGTAGCACTTGTCACTGGCAAGATTCAAAAGGTAGTCTTACACGCTGATGC